TGTCTTTGGATGTGGGGTATCTTTTTTGGTGAGTTCCAGTGTCTTCCTGTCGATGACTGTTCAGCAGTTAGTTGTGATTCCAGTGCTCTTGCAAGAAGGAGTGAGCACACGTCCTTCTACTCCACCATCTTGAACCATTCTACCTGTTGAATTTAATTCAGTAAACATTTATTGACTTTTGAATTGATGTCTACAAAATATTTGCATGTTTAATATGTATAAAGAAGTGGTTTTAGATTAATGAGCCTGACCTGAATTTATTTCACACACATGCATTAAAATATTAAATGTTCATGAAGAAATTGGAACCCTTGTGCAGTGTTGGTGGGGATGTCAAATGGTGCAGCCACTGTGAAAAACAGTATGGCAGTTCCTTAAAAAATTAAAAATAGAGTTTTCATATAGTCCAGCAATCCACTTCTGGGTATATAACCAATAGAGTTGAAAGCAGGAACTCAAACAGATATTTGCACAGCCATGTTCATAGCAGAATTATTCACAGTAGCCAAAAGGTAGAAGCAACCCAAGTGTCCATCCACAGATGAATGAATAAACAAAATGAGATATATACATACAATGGATATTATTCAGCCTTAAAAAAGGAAATTCTGACACATGCTACAACATAGATGAACTTTGAAGACATTATGCTAAGTGAAATAAGCCAGTTACAAAAAGACAAATACTGTATGATTACACTTTAAACAAAAAAATTCTTTATTTACTTTTGGCTGCACTGGGTCTTCGTTGCTCCGTGCAGTCTTTCTCTAATTGCGGCGAGTGGGGGCTACTCTTCGTTGCGGTGTGCAGGCTTCTCATTGCGGTGGCTTCTCTTGTTGTGGACCACAGGCTCTAGGCATGCAGGATTCAGTAGTTGTGGCACACGGGCTCAGTAGTTGTGGCCCGCAGGTTCTAGAGCACAGGCTTAGTACTTGTGGCGCATGGGCTTAGTTGCTCCATGGCATGTGGGATCTTCCCAGACCAGGGTTCAAACCCATGTCCCCTGCATTGGCAGGCGGATTCTTAACCACAACGCCACCAGTGAAGTCCCTGAATACACTTTTACGAGGTCCCTAGAGTAGTCAAATTCATAGAAATGCAAAGTAGAATAGTGGTTGCCAGGGCCTGGGGGAGGGAGAAATGGGAAGTTATTGTTTAATGGGTACAGAGTATCAGTTTTACAAGTTGAAAAGAGTTCTGGAGATGGATGGTGTACAACAATGTGAATGTACTTATTTGTACACTGAACTGTACACTTAAAATTGGTTAAAATGGCAAATTTCTTTATGTGTATTTTACTACAATAAAGAAAGTTTAAAAAGGTGGTAGACATCTATAGCATTGTACAGGCATACCTCATTTTATTGCACTTTGCAGATATTGTGTTTTTTACAAATCAAAGGTTTGTGGCAACCCTGCATTGAGCAAGTCTATAGGTACCATTTTCCCAAAAGCATTTCTCACTTCATGTCTCTGTGTAGCATTTTAGTAATTCTTGCAATATTTCAAACTTTTAAGATTATTATTATATTTGTTATGATAAACTGTGATCAGTGATCTTTGATGTTACTATTGCAAAAAGATTACAACTTGCTGCAGGCTCAGATGATGGTTAGCATTTTTTAGCAGTAAGGTATTTTTTAATTAAGATATGTACTTTTTTAGACAATGCTATTGCACACTTAACAGACTACAGTAGTGTAAACATAACTTTTATATGTACTGACAAAAAAATTCATGTGACTAGCTTTATTGCAGTATTCATTTTTTTATTTTATTTATTTATTTATATATTTTTTTGCGGTACATGGGCCTCTCACTGTTGTGGCCTCTCCCGTTGTAGAGCACAGGCTCCAGACGCGCAGGCTCAGCGGCCATGGCTCACAGGCCCAGCTGCTCCGTGGCACGTGGGATCTTCCCGGACCGGGGCACGAACCGGTGTCCTCTGCATCGGCAGGCAGACTCTCAACCACTGCGCCACCAGGGAAGCCCTGCAGTATTCATTTTATTGCAGTAGTCTGGAACCAAATTTGAAATATCTCTGAGGTATGCCTGTAATGCTAAAACCCCTCTCTTAATTGCTAGGGTTGCCAGTCGTAAGAGAGCTCAGTTCCTGCCATTTCTTCCATTACTTTTATGGGTGAATATTTATGGAAGTAAACTAAATAATTACAAATGACAATCTAAAAGTAGGAGTGTATATTAAAGTCCAGCATAGATGCTAGTCCAGCAGATTATTTCTAAAAGAAAAGCTGAAGATTTTTCTTTAATGAGCATCTTAAGTACCACAAACTGTAAAGATTTAGAGGATCCTGGTACACTTAAGTAAGCTGTATAGTATTCCATTGCATAAATATACCACAGCTTTACCATTTTCTTGTTGGATATTTGGTTCATTTCCAATGTTTTATTGCTAAAATCAGTTCTACAGTGAATCTTCATGTATGTGTCTTCTCGTTGATGTGTACCAATATTTCTCTAGTGCATGAGGAATTGCTGGGTTTTGGATTTGTCCATATTCAATTTTGCTAGATATTACCAAGTTGCTTTCCAAAGATATTGAACTAGTTTATTTTTCCTACCAGCAGTATATGACAATTTTTATAGCTCCACATCCTTGTCAATACTTGGCTTGTCAAACTTTCATTTTTGCCAGTCTCATGGGGATGAAATTTTATCTTATTATTCTAATTTGCATTTCCTTAATTACTAGTGAGCTTGAACATTTTTTCAGATGTTCACTGGTTATTAGTTTCAAATTAGTTTCATTCTTTGAAATGAATTTCCACATTTGTGAATTATCTTTTAATATCTTTCCCCAAATTCCTGTTATGGTGTTTATCTTTTCTCCTTTGAGTTGTAGGAGTCTTTCATGTCCTTTGGAAAAAACTTTTGTCTGTTACATACATTACACATATCTTCTCCAGCAATCTATTAGCTTATGATTTTACTTTGTTTATGGTTGTCTTTTTAATACATAGGTTTTCATTTTTTTTTAATAAATTTATTTATTTTTATTTTTGTCTGTGTTGGGTCTTCGTTGCTGCGCACAGGCTTTCTCTAGTTGTGGTGAGCGGGTGCTACTCTTTGTTGCGGTGCTCGGGCTTCTCATTGTGGTGGCTTCTCTTGTTGTGAAGCACGGGCCCTAGGCACGCAGGCTTCAGTAGCTGTGGCATGGGGGCTCAGTAGTTGTGACTCATGGGCTCTAGCGCGCAGGCTCAGTAGTTGTGGCACATGGGCTTTGTTGTTCCATGGCATGTGGGATCTTCCTGGACCAGGGCTCGAACCTGTGTCCCCTGCATTGGCAGGCAGATTCTTAACCACTGTGCCACCAGGGAAGTCCCAGGTTTTCATTTTTAATAGACAAATTTAGCAATACTCTCCTTTGTGGTTTATATCTCTTCATCAAATTGAATAAACAGAGCTATTTCGTGTCAAATTTATAACTTTTACTGGGGTTTAATAATAAAAGGTTTGGATATTCTAGTTTAAGTGTAATGCATCTTGGTTGATGCTCCTTGGCCAAAGTAATTTATTTTTTTGTATGACTCATTGGTTCAAGTTATTACATAAGTATTTTTAAAACGTCAACTTACTATCTTTACTCTTTGAGTGATGATCTCTATTAAGGCACAGTTATGTAAGTGTGGAATGTACCTGATATTTATCCCTGATGTGCTTTTATCATTACAAGGAGCCCCTCCTCCCATGCAACACCCTGCTTCTATTTTCTTCCTCTCTAATTCCATCAGTGACTTTTTTTTTAACTTGAGACATTGTCCACATGTTACTAGATTCATTAACACAGTTGCAAAATTCACTGCGGGCTCTAGGAATAAGTGAATTCAGGTTTCAAACAGGCAATATGTTGGGAGGACCGGAAAGGTAATCATACCACATCAGGAAAAGTCTCACAGGCTCCCAGTTATGGAATTTGATAGGTTCATATTGGTACAAGAAAAAAATGACACAATATTGGACTATTTCCAGATGATTTCCTAAAGCTATGGGAAAACACTATGAAACAACAAAAAGCCAAATACAAATGCAATTTTAGGAGTGAAAATACTTAAACTTTTGCAAAGGACTTAAAAACTATAACTGAATCTGTGTATGTATTTAGGAGAGGGAATGTCAGAGGTCATTTTCATAAATAATTCTTGATGTGTGAGAGGCAAAGAAATATGTTTTGACCTTGGCATTTTGACCTCAAGGAGGTTTTGACCTTGGCATGCAGCATAAACACATGCTTTCTGTCTCCTCATTTTAATCTCTCCTCTCTCTGCCTCTCCCAGTGGGTTTCCATCCTTTAAGCCTTCCCCACTTCTCCATCTTGTCCTCTTTCCC